AGAGAGAGAGAGAGAGAGAGAGAGAGAGAGAGAGAGAGAGAGAGAGAGAGAGAGAGAGCGCGTGGATCCGCGGATGTATCGAAACAAATTTTTATGCGGGTCAAGCTTTTCTGCGCTTTTCGAAGCCGCCACCCCCACCCCTGGCTGTACCCCACTACCGATCGACACTCATTTATACTTTTACCACCACCCTACCGCCCCTACCGTGGGGATTGTTTATGACACGATTCGTTTGATTATTAGCTGTTTATACGCGACCATCGATCGAACCGCTAACTGCACGCGGCATTCCGACAGCAAAACAGTTCCGCCGCGCGCTTTACTGAAACCCTTTCGCTCCAAAACCGGACTTTTTTTTTTCAAACGTGTACCTGAACCGACAAAACTGGTTCTACTGGATTTTCCGTTGGACTTGGTTACTCCTTCTCGTGATCTTAATTCAATACGGACGACTGCCCGAATAATATCTCAACAGTGTTCCATGGATACATCATCGCCTTCATTAATCTTAAGTGTACGATAAAAATAGAATTCCTAAAACTCTCTTTTGGCTATCTGAAGTACAGTGTTCGCGTGCAAATCTCTGTTTTACGCTAATCAGCAAAAAACAGGGAGTGATGAAATATTTAATTACAGCATTGAATTCTTCTCTCATTTTTCCTAAGTTTTACTTCATTGATTATCTTTTTACTATAAAATCGAGAAATATAATTCACAATTATATGCAAAAATTAACACGATATTCTTGAATAGTTATAAAAATACTTGATATAATGAAAAACGATGCTTTCGAAGCGTTAATTGGATTTAGCGTGACTTTCGAGGCATTATTTATTACGGCGAATTGATATCCTCTAAATGATTGGTTATTTATACATTTCAACTTATGTCGCGTTTGAGAATAGCTTCGGTGAGGTTTATGTTATTGATTTAAAAACGAATCTGCGTTGCGTCTGTCCCGACCTGTCGCGGGTTAAACGGCTGCCGTCGGAACAATGTTTGACATCTCCGCTTTTCTGGCTGACAGGAGCCGGCCATACCTACTGTCACGAAGATGTTTCCGATAAGTTTTGCCGAATTATCACGCGTTTCAAATTCTCTTTTATTTGTCAATGCTTTTGCGTCACGTTGCAATTCTATTAGTATTTTAGAATTCAATCGATTATATTTATTACACGCGGCTTGTTTAAAAATAGTTTTTTTTCTCAAATCTATATCTATTATTACGCATTTATTACTTTATTCCCTATAATTGACTGAATTTCTTATTTACTTATTGAAACACTTATACTCAATATGTCAATCAATATGATTTTTACATAAAAATTTAAGTTTGTCACGTAATTGTGACACACCTTTCTCTACAGCCGAATTATTTAGACGTTATATCGGATTTGTTATACTTATTCTAATTTAAAGTATTATAATTTAAAGAAAATTTGTACGTTATTTTATAATAATAAAACACATTTTTACACTTATATTCTTTTTTCAATTGTCGACGGAACATCGCACAAAGTGATGTCACAGAATAGCGCAAATTTTAGTAGCAAATAGTGATTTTTAACATCTCGAACGCGATTAAATTATTGAGATATTTGATACCTAAATATCTTAATGCATAAAAAGCTATTCAATTATTTATTATTAGCGCGATTATATTGCATGGTTTTTTACTTATCAATCACACATCGTTTTTATTTCATTAGTCATCAGGAGCACCATGATCAAAAAGACACGGATTTCTCGCATGATCTTGTCACTCGATGATTGTTTCATCGCTGCCATTTTTTTTTTATTTTCTTTTACAGTCGTTTCTTAACGCGAGCACATTTAGCACCAGCACATCACACCCGTCACCGTCAACATCACCACACGATCAGAAATACCTCCTTCGCGCGAAGTATAGCTAGCTTAAGGGGAAACGGCCCGCGTAGTCAGACATCGTGAGGAAAATAAGCGAGTATTTCACTAGCGCGAACAGAAGACGCACCGTTTCTCGAGTATCCCTCTACTGAAAGAAAGTTAAGTGCTGTCACAAGGGTTATTTAATTGTGTATAAAACCGCGTTCGCATGTGCTCCACTTTAGAACACAGAACATTCCGTTTGTTTTCGTTTTGCCGAGGCGCGAAAAAAGTCAACGCGTGTCTCTATTTATCTCCACTTTTCGCGGGAATCTTACGTTTTTCCTTTTGTTGTACTTATGTCTCTTACATCACGTCTTATGTCAAGATAAGGCATACAATAAAAGAGAAAATCATGATTTGAATCATAAAATGAAAGAAAATCATAAGATAAAAGAATAAGATAAATTTGTCGCGAAAAGAATTTCAATAATCTTCATTTCTTTTTGATTCGCGCTAAAGTTTTGACATTTTAATTTTCACGAAAATAATTCACGCGATCGAGAATCAAGATTGAAATGATTAACAGCCCGAAGAATCACATGATCGCTCCGCGTGCGATTCAAGAGAAGAGGGTTGTTGCGTGAAACTCGAAACGATGAGCGGAACTACAAAAATGAACGAGGAAGGGTAATGACGTCTCCCTTCGCTCGCTGATTGTCGGCACTTACCTGTTTGTCGCGCCGATCCCATAGAGACAAGTTCGGAGGACGAGGACGGGTAAGAAGATGTTCACAACATCGGCACACTCGAAGCCGGCAGGTTGACGATCTTCTTTGATCCTCTCTCACTGCAAGCTCTTGGGCGAGCTTTTAACATCACAGTATCTACTAAGTCGAGCCGCGTCGTTAACAAGTCCTTTCCCCGGCACCTTTGCTTCCCTTTCTTTTACTTTGTCGCGAAACTTTCCGTTTTTTACTTAAGAAGAAAAAAAGTGAGAACCGAACTTTTCGTTTTTTATTTCTAAATATATATGTTAAACAAATCGTTTCTTTTCTCGTCCTTTTCCTCGGCTCGCGCGCGCGGCCCCGGTGCCTCTTTTTACGTAGGGGCTCCCGGCCTAACGAACGTGGCCGATCAGCGCGCGGGTAGAGAGAGCTTGGGCTGCGTGGCGGAGCGCGAACTTTCGGGCTTGCGGGCGCACTGGCGCACACGGCACACTCGCACCGCGTAGGCGGAGAGAGGAGAAGCTCCGGCGGATGCTGTAAGCCGAAGGGAGAGAACTACGCGCGCCGGCCAGCGGCGGAGCAAGCCGGTGGCCCCTCTTGGCCACTTTGCCCCGTACGGTGGCGCCTCTACCGCGCGCTCTCGCAACTTCTGTCGTTGCTTCTCCTAGGCGGGCAGTACGAGGAACGAGGATGGCGCATCGTCGGCGTGAGATTGGCGGCAGGCGGTGGGAAACGAACGAGAGAAAGAAGATCCGCGCCGGCCGAAGAGAAGGACCGGCGAAGCGAGCGAACGGGTGGACGGACCGACGGATGGATGGACCGACGGACGGACCGACGGGCGCGCGGA